AATATCGCTCTAATGACGTGAGCCTACAGGCTAAGCTTGCCCTGAGATGAAATGCCTAACGGCGGTCCCTCAGGGCCTCAGTAAAGCTACAGGAGACGGAGTTAGGGTGTAGTACGTAGGCGTACCGCTTCGCAAGAAGAACAGTAGATAATACTGACTGTGCGTGGTCCCGAATGAGGTGTACCTATAGCGGGCAGTGCGAATCGTGCATATTGCTACAGCAAAGTAGCAGTATCTATGTAAGATTCCCCCTCCGGCACAAAAAAAAAAACGATACACATGTGTGCACACCGATCGTAAAAAATCAAACATTTTCGCGAACATGGATCGGTACGCGCACAAACCCATACAAGAGTAAACGAGCATGCGCATACATACCGATCGAACGCACTTGTGTGTCGTTTATGAGCACTTTAATAAAATAATATAACAACAATATATCTATAGCAGTGTTTTTTAAACAAAAATCCTCATAGCAAATAAAACTATAGGTGATAGAAGAAATCTGTTTTCTATTTTCTGCGTTTGTGGCAATTTTTACATAATAAACACTTTGCTCTGTTCATGTCACAAAAAACAAGCGGATTTTTTTTTACCAGTGTTATTTGACTAATCTACAGTATTTAGAAACATTTCGCCATATCAAAATGACTTGTTAATCTCGAGATGATTTGCATCTAATCCACACGAAATCTTCCTGCGCAACTTTGATTCAGTGACATCTGTTTGCCAAAAGGGAAATTTATATCAGCTGATTTAGAAACTACAAAGAGAAAAAATGTAAACAAACAAAACAATTTAAAGCAATTCATATGATTTTTCCAGGCGATCCATTCCCAAACTCAAAAAATACGTCCATTATTTCCACTAAATTTACAGGCGACTTTTATATCCAAAAAACGACAGTTTAATAAATAAATAAGCGAAGTGTATTTTTGATGTCAAAAACAGCTATTTTATAAACCTCCAACGGCATTAAGGACAGTCACGATGGGTACATAGATTAAATTTTGGTCGGAAAATAGTATTTCATTAAGATTACAGTAAGAGCACCTTCTGAGCAACGAAGAGCAGAAAACAAAGGGTATGCCACAATAAAAGCTATGCTCTCACTGCTTTTCTCGAATAAAAATGGTTCTTGAAAAACCTAGAAATCGTGCATCGAACTTTCCTGTCAAAACAAATGTGTAACGCAAAGCAAGGCAAAAGTTCTATACGAATTTGCCATAAGAGTTACACTACCATTATCACTCTTACATACTTTAGTTAAGCCATCATATATCTTGTTTATGTTTCAATTATACTCCGTTATATTCTACTCGGGTAAAGCCTATAAAGCCTATAAGCCTAAATTGCCACTATTTTACTCTGAAAGCTGTCTCGCGATGCTTTTTATACTCTTGCAA